GGGGCTGAATAATTTTGCACGGCCAATTTTTCAGTTTTTTATTTGTTAAAAAAGTTTGAAATATCCAATAAATTTCGTTCCACTTCATGATTGTGTCCCACTTGTTGTTGATTCTTCACAAAAAATTACAGTTTTATATCTTTATGTTTGAAGCCTGAAATGTGGCAAAAGGTCGCAAAGTTCAAGGGGGCCGAATACTTTCGCAAGGCACTGTATTATTATTAGTAGTAGTATTATGTTGTTGTTGTTTTGGACGTCAAATATAATGTACATTAAATCTTTAAGCAAAACCTTTAGCCTATATAAAACCCTGATACTAATTTTTACACAGATGTACAGCAGCACCTGGTCCAGTAGTTTGTTTTTAATTCATTTTATACAATGCATCTTCTAACCTAACATCGGGTTTAAGATCTGTTTTCTACAATTTCCTCAAAACTTCAAATGTTAGACCACAGTCTCTTTAATCTGGCATTAAATCAAACCTCTTTCTTTAACACCTCTGACTGATTAATATACTGTAATCTAAACAAGCCTGAACGGAGTTAAACTGTGCTGAGTGTCTCTGCTGCTGCCGCTCACTTCCAGCAGGTGGCGACAGAGGCGATCGTCTATGAACATCATCATCTCCTCAGTCAAGAGTAGATTGTTTTTCTTCAGCATCCTGCATCTTCCGCGGCCCCATCGACTGTCTCTCAAAGGTACGTAGGCTATTGAATTCTGTAGCTCCAACCATAAGAATAGACGGCTTCAATGAGTCAGGAGGATCTGGCTTTTGTGATTCTGTTAGCTGTATGACTTCCACTTTATAGGAGCTGTGAGAGCCAGGACAGTGTTATGCGATCCTGTAGTTCAGCCTATATGTCAGCTTGTCTGCTGTTGCGTCAATTCAGACAAGGAAATGTGAAATAGCTAACTACAAGCTGTCCTTAAAACCCATTTGAGTTGTTAGCCCTTTTCCCTTCAGAAACAGCTGAATTTTAAAAGGCAAAGTGTTTTTTAATATTGTTACAATAATATAATGTATAAAATATATGAAAACCAGTAGCTTAATGATCCATTCTGTTCAATATCAAGCTCCACAATGAGCTTAATTGCTGTATACACTGAGTGGCCACTGTATTGGGTACACCTGTACAAATATATGCATTGCAATGCAACACTTCCACCTTAACATCTGTGTTTATGAAGCTCAAAATGTTTCAGTTTTTAGTGAAATTGTTGTAAATGTATACATTCAATTATATGTTTATTAATGAGGTCATAGTTAAAAGTGGTGTTGTACTGGACTGCTTTATATTCAGAGGTGTTCCTAATATTCTGACTCTCTTATCTAAAGGACAAAAATATAGACATATGAGTCCCAGCAGGCAGAGTGGAGGAAATGTAAACGTGAAAACCCACCTCTGAGAAGGAAGTGCTGTCCTGTTCCATGACCTTGCTTGTTTCCAAAGCTCCTAGATCACTGGGTTTACACAGTCTCACTGGAGATTGCTACTGAATGACACACACTGCAGGGTGATGCTGAAAAACTGATCCATGCCTTTCTTACTTCCAGGTTGGACTACTGTAACTCTTTACTATCAGGATGTCCCAATAATTCCATAAAAAGCCTCCAGTTAATCCAAAATGCTGCAGCCAGAATACTGACAGGAACTAGCAAGAGAGATTACAGGTCTCCCATATTAGCTTCTCTCCACTGGCTCCCTGTAAAATCCAACTTGTGGTTCCTAGAGTCCACAGAAGTAGAATGGGAGGCAGAGCCTTTAGCTATCAAGCTCCTCTCCTATGGAACCAACTCCCAGTCTCAGTCCAGGAGGCAGACACCCTCTCTACCTTTGAGATTAGACTTAAGACTTTCCTTTTTGATAAAGCTTATAGTTAGGGCTGGATCAGGTGACCCTGAGCCTTCCCTTAGTTATGCTGCTATAGGACTAGGCTGCTGATGGGGGCCATGATGCTCTGTGTTCCTCCCCTCTCCTCTCCCCTCCCCTCCCCTCTCCTCTCCTCTTCTCTCCTCATGCACTTATATGCCACCATTACGTGACTAACTGTGTGTCTCCTCTCTCTCTCACCCTGTACCTTCCTGCAGGTAGTCCTGGCTCTGGAGCTCTACATCTCTGGTGAGCAGTCACAGGCCACATCAACCTGCCCAGTGTTTGATTGTTAGTTGTTGCTTTTTTTTCCCCACCAAGAGCCGGGGTCTGTCAGAAGTTTCTTCCATTAAAGTGAGTTTTTCCTTCCCTGCCAGCTTAACACTGAACCTGCCCACTGTGCTCTTTATTTGGTTATTGTTTGGCTGAAGGTGAAAGTGCAGTAAGGAATAAAAAGAATGCTACAAACAGAAACATGAATTCTAATGTAGCCTCATCTACATCAATTTTAAGATCATTTCTATTATACAGCACAGTTCTTTATGTGATTTAGGCTGTATTTATGAAGAGTGCTAAAGTTAGTTTTTGGTGGTTTTATCCACTTTTATTTACAAATGAGTCATGTTCTCTAGATCATGTTGAAGTCAGACAGTTTAATGAAGGAAAACAAGACATTACAAAATGTAAAATGAACAAAAAACAATATGAAGATTTTAAACTGGAATTACTTAAAAATGTAACATAATCACAAGTACGAGACAGTTTTTAATTTTCCATTGCTATGCAGCTAGATAACACATTACTGGGGTTAGATATCCAGTCCTACCTGGGATACATGCTCTATCAGAAAGATGTCCATGACCTACAATAGAAGCATTAGATTTGAAGGTGTTATCAGTGGTCCCACACCACTGATTGACTAGGAAATTCAAAGGTATTTTTTCTAAAACATTTGAGTTTTCTCAGGCAGATCTAAATCACAGAAACAGTAAAAGTATTTGTCAAAATACCAATGTACAGACTAGACTGTATACTGGACATCTGTGTCTACTCTACAGCAGATGGTGTTTTAATGTAGAAGAAGCCAGCTGCAGCTTCTCGGATATTAGTTTGGATTTGACACTTAAATGTTACAACTTATCTTGTCTACATATAAAAAAAAAACCTTCGCAATAAAACCAATACACCTTTCTAAAACTATAGCACTGCCAGATTTTTTTGTTCATTTTTATACTGTGAGTGTTCTACGTGCATTTCCTTTAGTCTTAAATGTTAAATTCACCCATATTAAAAAGACATACTTTCTCTTAGTTTTAATTTTCTTTGTCCAGTTTTGGAGCTATGTAACTGAGATTCCAGACTTGCCTCCATTACAGTGGAGGTCAATGGAAATTTGTTTGTGGTAATCATAGTGTTGAAAAATTATATTTATCCAATCTGCCTACATTACTCTGCATAATCAGGATCACACTGTCATACTCTGTTCACTGGAATTTGTTCGTGCCTTAAAAATAGTTCCTATGAACACAGGGACAATGACTTTGGAATGAGAAGTTGCTGTTGATGCTTAAAACTATGAATTCAATTCTGTTCTCCTCTACTGTATTAGGCAGAGGCAGAAATCTCAGAGACAAATATGAACCAACACTATCTACATGGCCAAAAACCTTCAAGGTAAAGTTTATAAAAAAGTGTAAATTGGGCAAATTATACATTTCAGAGGTCCTATTGTTGCACTTGGATTTAATCCACATTTCTTTGTTTGTTTTATGATGTTCTAAATGGTCACTTCTGCTCTAACCTACCCTACTTTTCTGTCTCTTGTTCTTTCTTGCCACTGTAAACTGGTTTCTCCACAGGTTTCAAAACAATTTCACTGCGTCTCATCAGGAACTTTTATTGTGGTATAACCAGAAGAATCCAACACATCCATGGTGTCAACATTTTCCCCTGTACATAATGCTACCCTGTACTGCCTCGATACCCCAGCATCCCATCATCATCACAGCTGTGCTTGGAATAAAATACAAACAGCACTTCTCTATTTAGTGCTCCTTTTATTCTGGTAACCATCCTAATGACAAGATGCAAGTGAGTAAGCGGCGTTAACAAGTGTGAGCCGCTGGTGTGGTGCTTTGTTCAGAAACAGTATAAGGCAGGTGAAGGGTGTGGGGAGGAGGTTAGACCCAGCTGACTGATGCCCTTTCGTTATTGCACTGCTTGCTGTAGCTCCCTCAGTAGTGCAACATGTAAAGAGTGTCAGGCAGTGAGCGTCCTGTAGCTGTCGCCTGAAGCGAAAAAGTGCAACCTGAAGAGCAGGTTCCCTCTTCAACTTGCCTGTGAGCAAAAGTCCTTTGAATATTCAAGACTAGTCAGTGTTAGGTGAATCTGAGGATAGACAAATCACTGGGTTACATTTGGATTAATCTATGGTTTAAAGGGGAAAACAACTAATAAATTAGAAAGAAAATCTGTCATAAACATAGAATAATGAGGTTTTATGTTTTTGTTCTGTGGCTTTTGCATTTTGTGCAAACATTTCATTGAAACATTGAAAGTTTTTATCACTCTGTTCTGCAATGACTGCAGTATAGCAGCAGACTAACGTTTATTAATAAACAAACAGCCTATAAATGGCAGGGATGGTCAAAATGGTTTATAATGATATAATTAATTAGCAGTATATTAACACTATTGCATCCAAAACAGAAAGTGACACCTTTCAAGAGGCAGTTAAATCCTAAATAAATACAGAAGGGTTACAAATCAAAGGAAAGACTGAATAAATGAGGATAACGGTGCCCCCATCCACAAGGCATGAGGGGTCACTGACTGGTCTGATGAGTATGAAGATGATGTGAATCAGATGCTGTGGCCTTCCCAGTCACCAGGTCTCAGCCCTGTTGAAAAGCTATGGGAGATGTTGGAGTGATGTGTTGGAAAGCGTCTCCACCACCATCATCAAAACAGCACATGAGGGAATATCTGTTAGAAGAATGGTGTTCATCTCTCCAGTAGAGTTCAGAGACTCGGAGAGTCAATGCCAAGGTGCACTGAAGCTGATCTGGTGCCATGTGATGGCCCAGCACCTCACTGACACTCTTTGTGTTGGGTTTTTCTTTCATTTAATTTGTCACCCATCTGTAGCTACTGGCCCTGTAAGGAGTGATTGCTGTATCAGCAAGCCTTAAACTTTCTACAAGGCCTCATCCTGTCAGTCAGGCCAGGCTTTTTTTAAAGTTGCTATAATTGTATATTCGTTTTTAGGTAGATTGAAATGAAATAATGAGCCGTTAAAAGCATTTAACTCCTATATAAAGTAAAACCACATCGAAATATTTAATTCATAACATTTTATCATTTCATCACATCGTAAGAGGCCTAGTCGTTAACCTAAAAAACTAACAATTTATTTGTTTGTTTATTTATTTATGTATTTATTTTCCCACCTACAGTACCTGTAGTGGGCCATTTGTCCAGGTTTTGAGATTTCTGCCTCTAGGCCAACACAATGGGGGGGAGTGACATTTACATTGTACTGTTACAGCCATTGAAAAATACCCACTTGAAAACAACATTTCATTCCAGAAACAGCATCGTAGTTTGGAAAATCCACAGTCTTCAGTGTGAACATTCTTTCATTCTACTGATGGAGTAGTCCCAGTGAAAACTGCTGTTTTCTATAGATAATCCAGAGTTATAAGGCAATCTTTCTGGAAAGACAGCACCAAAATTCATTCTATTCACCTCTATTCTATCGAAGTGGAGGCTCAAATCTAACACCACATAGAGATATTTTAGAGAAAACCTCAAATACAGTATGTTTTTTCCTTTTTTCGATGAACCAACCCTGTAAGTATTTATATTGTACTTAAGCAAATCACTGAAATTTGCAACATCTGTAGATGATAATTCACTTGATTTTTTATCAATTTAAATGTGTCATTATGGTGCCATTAATCTCCTGAAATGCAGGTCTACAAAAACAATCAATTTAGGATTATACAAGACACAGGATAGAAACAAAGCTCAGGGTTTAACAAACAAGTGAATGACACATTTTACAGTCTGTCATTTTAAATTACACA